AACATCGGCATGGTTACTTTAGACCGGCGTTGCTGTATTTCTCGCTTTTTTCTTCTCTTTTCTTTCTTTCTTGGCCTCTTTCTATTCAGGACCCGTCGTCGCGATGCAAATATGTTCGATGCAAATGCTCGTTCGCCTACGGAGAGCGGAGGTAACGGAAGTGGTAGCGCGTACGCAGCCGTAGATTGCGCACTCCGTTATATTTCCTGTCTCCGACGCCGTTCCGGTGTCTCCACACGTGCGTTCATATCGATTCACGTGTAATTCTCCATGTAGATTCCATCGCCGACCACCCGGGCCACTGAGCCGTTTTTAAGCCCAGAATAAGACGCGTTTCTAGCTCGCGCGAACTTTATTGTGGCAAACCTCCGTTGAAGTGCAAACTAACAATAAGTCTCGATAGTTACTCATTGATTCTTACAATATTGCGTTAATGACTGTTATATCCTGAATAAATTGATTACGAAAACGATTGAGCCAGTCATCAAATTTTTTAAATATTGTTCCTTATGCACAAGTTTAGTAGTAGAATTCATTCTCTTTTTTTAACTTTTAAACAATGTCAAGCGACATTTTTATCTTATATATGAGCCGTTTATTTTGAAAGTGACCTAAGTCCGTTAAAGAAAAAATGTTGTTTATGACAGCTAACTTCAAGTTGTACACGCTACTACAAAGGTCAACAACAAAACATTGAAAAATGGACTTAGGCCACTTTCAAAATAAACGGCTCATATATTACAAACGTAATTAAATTTATATCAATTGTGACGTTAAATTTCATTAGATTGTATATTTGGATTTCTTTTTTTAAAGGCAAAAATAATAGGATATAAAAGAGGAATAAGCTTTTATATTTTTATATTTTTTATTTAATGAAGAATTGCATTATACACTGAGAGAAAAATGTTTGATATTTGTAAATGTATTTATATATTACTATAATTATGATTATTACTACTATAATAATAGTAACAGTAACTATGTATAAGTTCTAGCAACAAATGTAGGGTAAAATCAGGGATTATGGCATAGGCTACTAATATGGAATAGTGGCTTATTTTTTAAACAAAGCATTGCAACCTGGCGGCAATCGCTGAAAATTATTTCAACTGTTACCAAACATGTCATAACAAACAATGAACTCGGTCCGACCAACCGTTTTGCTACAATTAACATTTATTCATTTTCGTTACGTCAGAAGATTCGGCAGCTTTTTCTAAAAAGTGTTCTCACAAATTGAAGGTAAGTTTTTTTAATGCTTATATTGCACAGACGCTTTTAATAATGTTGCATGAACAATATTATGCAGATTAATTGCTGTTTCAAACTTGTTTATTGCTACGGAAAGACTTTATTTGTCATATGACGACATGCAGGTAATGTGGAATACATCGATGGTTGAGAATAGATTCCATGCATATAGCAACTTATTCGTGATCAGATTAGGTTAGGTTAGATTACAGCATGCATTCTATATCAGTTTATTTGCGATTTATCAGCTTATTTGCGATTTTTTATTTGTCCATGCGTAATAACGTTCGTAATGATGCTGTTATATTTTCTGTGTTATTGTACAATATATATATATATATATATATAAATTGAACAGTTTTCTATTTTTCTTGATCAGTTTATGTAAATAAACAAATTTGGACTTTATTTATTGTATTATTTATTACTAATCAAAATTTCATCGGTATTCCATATTACCTACATCCCATTTTTTAGACCCCCCACCCCATTTTCTCACTTTTAACTTTTTTGTTAATATTGACGTTGGACTTAAATTTTGGCGACTTTCATTTATTGGATGTTTTAGCTAACATATTCCTCAAGAGTTCTGTGTAAATTTGAAGTCTTTATATGCATTCATATCGGAGCAGTGTTAATTTAAAAAAAGCTATTCCATAATCCCTGCTTTTACCCTATACATATAGTTGGCAATCTAAAATGACTATAATTATAATGACTATAATTTTATAGTTATATTTGGGACCAACCATAAAAAATATGGTTGGTCCCAAATATAACTATAAAATTATAGTCACTTTAACTATTTTTATGGTAATTTCAACTATAATTATAGTCATTTTAGATTGTCAACTATATACATTCGTTGCTAGAACTATATACATAGTTACTGTTACTATTATTATAGTAGTAATATTATAGTAGTAAACATAATTATAGTGATATGTAATTACAGTTACAAATACCAAACATTTTTCTCTCAGTGTACATTTTACAATAATGAAAGATTAATACGATTTACAACTTTATAGTAAGCTATGTGAACACATGTAAATAGAATCCGTTGGAAGTGCAGAGGAGAGGCCAGAATAGTTCGCTCTAATTTTAGATTCTGTTACCGAGCAAGCATATGTACCTTCAACGCATTTCGGCGTATTATGTTCGACGGTCCGGAAATAAAGTCGCCTTTCAACGTTGCGCGAGCGAGCACCTACACGCGACGACTTCCGGCTGGATCAACGTTTTGTTTATTTCTATGTTATCGCCGTAACTTGCTCGTCACGGCACGCAGAGAATCACAAAGTAGAAGCGTTTAGTTGTATGTACTCAATGTGAGGAAACTATGTGAAAGGAATACTAATCCGTTACGCGTGACATTTGTACTTTCATATCATATTTCCCGTGCAAAGTTCCAAATGCAAAAGTGTTATTTTTATGTTAGAGTCAATTAACGCTTCTCTCAGACCTTTATTATTCTTGGCCTCTTTTTGAAATTTCAGCCAGCGATCCTCTTTTGCACCATCAAACGAAAATATCTGATATAGTATTTCATGCACAATTTCCCATTTTTTAATAAAATACGCCCCATATGTATCACCGAGGTCATATAACGTAACTTTATAAACTTTTTCTATTCTATGGAATATGATTAATACATTAACTGAAAATTACGTTTTATCGTATTTGAAAAAGTCCATTATGTTAACACATCGAAAGTTGAATATCTCGAATCTTTTGAAGTAGGGGAGACCGGGGTTGATTGTCAAAATGCTTATAACTCAAACAGGATATGGCAGAAAAGTCTCTTCTTTTTACTGTAGATTGCTGATATAATATTAACTGGTTTTGTAAAATGGTTTGCACTATAAGCATTGTATATATTATTTATAACGATTTTTAATTAAATGAAGTTGGTGAGTAAATTTTTCTTATTACCTATTTTTTGTTGTCTGACAAATCTTTGGCATTATTAACCGTGATATCCCTGTATTCGTAGAAAATGACATGTCTTGGAAGATCTATGCTACAATTAACCCTCGAACGACACACTTATTTTCGGTACCTTTGGACGACACACATGGATCATTCGTCCCAGCTTTATTTAAAATTAAGTAACTTACTTTTACAATATCATGAATTCGCGAGTAATATTTTTTTTAATACCTAAAGGATGTAGGTATATTATACCGTATATATAGTATTTCAAAATCAGGCATCCATCTTTTTTTTAAATCACTAATCAAAAACTGTGACAACCAACCTCCGGTCTCCCCTATATCATTGTCTCTTTTCCGCGATGCTGATTGGTTCTCGTCATGCACTTACTTTGTGAACGGTTGTCATTGCATTGATAACTGTTTACGTCGTTTACGAAGTAAGCGAATAAATTTTGACAAAAAAAAAGGTTATTACAGTGAGTTATTATAGTACAGTTTAATAGTGTCAAATGCTAAATAGCACCCACATAGTGCACGCCTATTTTGTACTAGCTCATAAAAAAGTTGCGTTAGTAAATATTATAATTTCTAATTTTAGTATTAAATGTAATATCAGGATCTTGTAAATTTTTATCGCATATATTAATATTTTTAAAACCGTATTATTTACCAAATGAAAGCAAATTAAATTAGAGAAAGCACATGTTTTATATAACCGGTTTACAAAATTTCAGTTTCACCATATCGAGATTAAATCGTATTCGTTCTGCTTTTATATGATGCATAATATTGCAGTCGCATAAAATACGCGAGCAATATTGCGTCGAATGCATTCTGATAATAACAATTGCAATCGATATAAACTATGTCTGCACACAATCCTTTCGATTTGAATATTTTAAGAGAACTTTTTCCTGTGATTTGATAAAAAATTTTTAAATTTAACATTAGTAATGGTTGCTACTAATTTCAGTATTTATATTTTTTATCTTGCTTTTTGAAATTACAATAATGATCATAAAATCTTATTCATTATTATTTTTTAACACGATAGTGCTAAAATAAAATATATTTCGTAAAATATTTGGCACCATTATCTGCAACGTATTAATCTTCGTATTATATTAAATAAAATTATATTTTTTCAAAATAATATGTATAAAATAATTTAAAATATCCGTTACTTTTATAAAACTTTGATTGCAGCTATGTAAAACGCAGATATATATTTTATATTAAAAGATTACGGTCTAATAACGTTAATAGTTAAAAATTAACAATTTATTAATATATCTTTGTGCATTTACAGGGTGTTTGATAAGTAATTTGATAAGTAAAACTCTCGCACAGGAAGTAGAACGAACTAAATCATTTAAAAAGTCCTGAACCATTTTACAATATATATTTTCGCAATTGTTAATAAGATATTAAATACTAAAAATCGCCGAATATTGGTTTCCAACAATTTTTTATTCAAGTACTATCAACTTTACAAAAAAACACCAAGTGACGAAACTTGTTTATTTTCTTTTCGTAGTGTTTCGAGAATTTTTTCTGAATTTTTTATTACCGCATTTTCTCATGTTGGTAAAAATAGTTACCAATATAAGAAAATGCAATACAAAAAAATTGACAAAAAATTCTGAAAAGAATTTTTAGAGTTCTATGACAAGGAACTAAACAATTTTTGTGTCTTGCTGTTTTTCTGTAAAGTTGATAGTACTTGAATAAAAATTATTGAAAACCAATATTTGGTAATTTTTATTAATTGATATTTTGTTAACTATTGTGATAATTGCAAAATGGTAGAGGACTATTCGACTCAGTTTAGTCCGCTCTATTCCTATGCGAGAGTTTTATCGTTATTTATCAAACATCCCGTACATGACTGTTTTCCAACAATCGCGAATATAATTGTTTTCCTATTTATTTTTTCTAAAATTCAGTTTTAATTCTCTTGATTTTAAATATTACTCTACGTACAACAAAAATTTAATTGGATTCATTGATTCACCCATTCTATTTTGATCTACTTTCTGTTCTCCTTTGCTGCACTTATCCAAAGTGCGTTGCTGCTCCTCTTTTTTCAATATAGCTTGTAATAGCGGTGGAATACATTCGTCTTGAAGACCGTTTCTTTTGGAGCGACAGGCCTCGTATCTTTCCAACTGATAGATGGGAATGTTCTTTCCGTAGCGAGTGAGCAACTCTTGCGAGCTAGGCAAGTGCGATGTATCCCCGGAAATCTCAGGCGTTAAGCAAGCACGCCTAAAGGCTACCGCCGACTTCTGACACGCGGATGCTTTGTCCGACTTCGCGTATTCTATCTGCGTGACCTCACTTCGCAGTATTTGCTTTGAAGGCAGACGTTGAAGTCGTTGACTATCGAGACGTTTTTGCATCGTACATCTTTCTGTCGGTGAAGACTTTGCATGTAATGCCAAAACTTTAGTGGGAAAGAAATCGCTGCAAACATCCTTGGTTGCTGATCGAACTGGCTGGTAACAACTGGATGAACATATTTGTTTCTTGTATCTTCTTGAGAATTTCTTCAAGGAACTTGGTATTTCGAAAGGATCAAAACCGTTCTTACATGTTATATGAGAAAGTGGATCCTTCATCTCTGGGAAGAACAAGATATCAATTTTCAAATCTGCTTTATCTGAACGTGCAAGTTTACAGTCTGGAAGGGAACGGCGTGTTACTTCCGATTTCGACTTTCGACGTGAAACACTTTGTTTTGAAAGAGCTCCTTTACAAGAAATCTTTGTTTTTTTAACAGAAATCTTAGAGGAATCAGTAGGCTGAATAATTTTGTAAGCACTATCTTTTTTTAACTTTGATTCTAAATGAATACAGTAATTAGTTTTATCTTTGCTTATCTTTGTTGAACACTGAATAACTCTAGTCAAAGGACCCTTGGGTGCTGGAATGGATTTGATAAAAATCATTGTCTGCTTAGATGATTTGTCATCATCGTAATAAGATGCCTTTACAATCTTTTTTGATGATGAACGATGCACTATTTTAGAGCTTGAGTCGCTGAGTTGCATTTCGTGCTTGTCGGTTTTTAGAATTGCAGACGAAGCAGTTTTTACCGGTACTTTTACTTTATCAGTTAGAGCTGTTGCGTCACCAATGTGATCATGAGATTTTAAAATATAAGTTGTTGGAAGTAAGATAAATCTATCTCTCCCAAGTTGAAAAGTATCAATCAAGCTATCTTGTTGTTTTGCGTCTTTGCGTTGCGGTGTCACTCTGAAAAAAAATCGCAAATTTTAATAAAAATTTCCTTTGCGATTACTTAATTTGTGCATACATCGTTCGAATCAAATCAAGCATATAATAGGTGTATGTATTATATCAAATATCTATAGAGATACACATATTATTTGTTGCTATGTATAAGTTATAAAGTATTACTATTTTGAATATTTTGATTCCGTTGTTTTTCAGCTGTGATATAGGGTAGGATTAGATATTATGAACACTGCAGGTAATATGAGCACCCTTTATATTTCTCCAACAAGCGACACTGCGTAACATAGTAATCATTACATCTTTGTTTAACATTGGCGAACAACAAGGATGTAGCAATTCACTGTGTTACACTGTATCATCTCTTGTTGGAAAGATCCCACAAGGTATTTCACTTACATGTCCAAACTTCAAGAGTGTATAGGGAATCGATAAACTAAGAAAAAAAATCTTTCATGGATATATTCGTTTTTGCTTCGTTTTGGAGAAAATTGCAAAAATAGACAAAACGTAGTTTTGTACTCATTTATTACTTATTCATTTACACTTATTAAAGAATACGATTTTATTATTATTTTACGTTCTTCAAGATGTCAAGTTTCGATTTTTTATTCGATCAATGTATCAATTAGTTTCACGTGTTTTTTTATTTTCGAGAACTTTCTCGAGAATGAATCGAACGACGGTTTCATCTCCACCACGAAAGAAAAGACTGGTTGCTGCAGCAATTTAGATAATAAAACATGGCATAACATTTTTAAATGACTGCAATAGTCAATTTTTTGTTGCAGCAGCCAATTTTTGGCCGTGTTAACCTATCCGCAATGTCAATATATGTAGGTATAATACGATTTCAATAGGTTAACGCAACCAAAAATTAACTGCTGCAGCCAATTAAAAATGCTATGCCATATTTAGCCAATATTTTCTTTCAGTAAATTAAATACGAATTCCGTGCGGTTGCTATAGTGTCAGCTGACACCTGGATGATCTGGACCACCGGTCGATCGACTTCGACCTGGCACCCTAGCACGGTGCACTCCGGCGGATACTGCAAATTGTGATGGTAGATAGGTAGCATATATGCAAGGCTGCGAGACTATCGAATCAAATAACATATAGCTCGTATCGTATACTCAAACTTATAATGTCTTTATCTCGCGATAGTCCGAATCTTTAGAAATCTCTACTTTAAATCCCCCCTTAGCCACACCTTCTCTGATAAATTTCGCGTTAAATGTCGCGGTCTCCAATCGCGGTCCAAATCGAGAAAGAAAAGAAAGACTCGGGACCTTTGCGGTACGTGGTAAAGTTTCCCAAGGTCGCAATGCTCGCTCAGGTTCGAATTACGCGTCTTGTATCGCTCGGCGACTTCGACCGCTGACTGTGCTGCCTGTTGCCGACTTGTTAACCGGTGGAGAGATATTTTTTTTACAGAATATCTGCTTGCAATCACATTACGTTGGGCAGCTTGCATTTTGCACCGCTTCGACAAGCGATAAATCCAGTTTGCATTTACCGTCGCATAATTGAATAATGTAGCAACTATTTTTTATTATGGATAACATTCTACATTTTTTTACAAACAAGCTAATCTTTAAGGCTTGTACAGACTTATATGTGTTTCACATTTATAATCGAAACTTTGCGTAATATCGAAAATACAAAATAACTATATGTATAAGAAATAAAAAATAAATAAATAAAAATAGTTAATAACATCATCAATTTAAAAGAATACGTTCAAAACGTTGATATTTTAATTGCTGGCTATATAGAAAATAATACGCATGACAGAAGTGGTGGCTTCATGGTATTTACTTATAGCGTGCGTTAAAGGGTAGAGAAAAGTATACGCGAGGAATAAGAAAGCGTGGTAAAAGAGGTAGAATGAGGGAAATAAAAAAGGGAGGCAGCTGCTCGAAGAAAGGAAGAAGATATGCAGAAGACAGAAAAGTAGGAAATATGGTAAAAAGGCAAAGAGAGCGTGGTAACGGGAGACAAGTCTCTCTTTCATGATGACTCATTTACGGCTACGTACGTCATTGCGAATATGGAGACGAGTCTGTGACATTTCTTTCCCGACGATTTAGCCTGCAAGCGAAATACAGAGATGTCGTCCATCGTCCGGTCTTTTTTGTGGCATTGCCAAGAGAATGAAAGGAATCTCGTAATTCATAAAACGCTGTTTCTGAATGAATGGCGCCATTCAACATTGCTGTTTGAATATTTGTAACTGTCAAAATCTTACAAGTATGTGCAATATGATGCAGCTTTGTTTAATATTAATACTTGAGTGATAATTGTGCATACAATTTTATTTTTAAGGATGACCAAAGATTCTAAAATCTTTTATGTTATATATATAAAGTTAAATACGAAATAATTACAATTAATTTTCTTACTCGAGATCGCAAAATTTCTTTCACCGTTTACTAATCTTATCACAAATGTCAGACATAACTTCGGTTTTCGGATCTTGCCTAAAATATATAACATAACATGAATATATTATATATGAAAAAATTTTGGCAAAATAGATATGAAAAAAATAAATATGAAAAATAGATATGAAAAAAATAGATATGAAATATTTAATTTTAAATGTTAATTGCGCGAGAAAGAAAAAATTCTATTATAAACTAATGACTGAAAATGGCACATACAATGACTATGATAATCCTCATATGAAGGTGTAAAGCCGGAATAATGCGTGACAATGCCAGTCACGAAAGTTGCTTCGCGGTACGTGATCACGAATGCGATTCTCATTGTCGAATGCTTACGAATTTTGCACCGGTCACTAAACTGGTCCGTTTGTCTGTCCGTCCGTCCATCTCTTCGTCCCGTCAATCGATTCAAATCCCAAAATAAGCATGCTACCCAATGTCCGGCAAGCATATGCAAATCGTTCCACTACTCCCCTATGAAGAAAGAAGCTACCGACATTATGTTACAGCTGCCCTCATTCGGCTCTGTACAAATTTTTTCGCTCGATTTCATATGACTGCACGCCCATAATGCATCCCACTTTAGGGTCTAATAATGAATAATCATTTTTAACAAGGGGAACGACGATAACGTGCAATTTTTGTATAGGGCTATTATGAGTGTTGAACACTAATAGATCATTTATGATGTACGCTAAAATATTCATTATTATCACAAGGACGTACATCATTTTTTAATGATTCATAATTTTTCGTCATGACTTGTCATTCCACGATGATTTTACGACAATTTACATAGATTTAATTTTGCGAAAATTCGCCATCGAGTAAAGATTTAATTTTCTGTTCCAATTTCGTCTTTCTATTTCTCTATATATTGAAAACTTTTAAGCAAAAATTATTACAACTACTAAACATACAGGTTAATGTGGGTAACTTTGCCGATCGTTTCGAGAACTTTTGTCATCTTGTAGAAATCTGCTTCACTTCTCCGCGCTCTTCGTTGAAGATTTTTAAAGATCTCTTTAAACCGTTAATTTATCTATTTTGTAACTCCTGAAACTTTGTGCATTGTAACTGGAATTTTGACACTTCGTTATCACTTGAAGTTAACCAAAATTAACAAAGCGAGAACGTCTTTTCGAAATGAACGAAAATAAAAAATCGAGTTTTTATTTCCAAATTCGATTTACTTAAATTATCAGTTCTATTCTCATCCGTTTTATTCACCACTTAAATCTTTTTACACTTAAATCTTTATGTATTGATCTTGATTCATAAGAAAATACTTTTTGGAACGCAAAGATACCTACTTTTTTCATTCTGTAGATAATTAGAAAATATTATTCGACAAGTTTAAAGATAAGTTCGGCATCAACCGGGCAAGCTCGTGTTTAAATATTGCAGATAATATCAGCTTGTCGTGGCATTTGTTTATTCAAACAGCGCAATGGACAGCACCTATATGGTTTCGTTCCGCTTGAACAGTAGAACAAGCATAAAAGCGACTTCGCACATGCGACAAGCCACAGGGCCTTTCGCTCTGCAGAAAACGGGAGCAATGGTCGATGTCGACGTCGACAAGTTTATTCGTGATTCTTGCTCTTTTGTATCTGAATAACAAGCTTTACTTAAATTGATTTAATTTTTATGCAAAGATCATATTAGAAGGTTAGTTCAGAATGAATTATAAAATTTATAATCCAATATCTGTATATTAATGAATTGTCATAAATTGACAGATTACAACGCAGGATTTGCTGATTCAACTATGACCTTCTTTTATTTAATCATTTTCTATTATAGTTTTTATAGGTAGGTACTAAGAAGAATTAATAGTAGTTAATAATATATACTTATTGGAATTAATTTAGTTTTTAATTAAAAACTAGTAGGAAGAATCTATAAACTATCTAGTACATGATATAGGAAACACGGAATTAAATTTGAGGTTTAGTCTCTGAACAAATTGATTCTGTCGCTTGTCTACATCGCTATCATCACCTTAGCCTGTCTTCGAGCCATCTTCGTCATCATTCTTCTTTTGCCAGCGTTGTCAAGACACGACAAGGTGGCGACTGCAAAAAAAATGAGGAATGAGAAAAACGAAGGATGTGGACGGTGACGCTCGTTGAGACCTCGCCTACACGCACTCCGCTAAGGTCCGTCTTCCCACACGTAATTCATGTTCCTTCAATGTTCATCCCTCGCGCTCCTTAATCTCCTTTTCTCTTCTCTCCTTTCTCCCCTGTTTAATCTCGTCGTAAAATCCGACGTTTACTCCCTGCGTACGGTCGAGGAACCGGAATTGAGATAGCGCCACGTTAATTGCCGCCGATAATAGGATGCGTAATGGAATGTACGGTCGGTGAATCGCGCCGCATCATTGTACACCACAGCTATAATAATTACGTCGCACTAATCACGTACCTATACGTACGTATATTTTTTTACTAATCAGTGATGCAGTAAATGTGACCTCAAGAGTTATAAGTTTCAATTGAAAATAAAAATTTTTTAATATAATATAACTTTAGACTTGTGTGGTATAAATACGGAAAAATGATTCTATATTTATTTGCAAAGATATTTTGTTTTTATATCTCCATAATATACACAAAACACGCAAACATAAATATAATTTTTGTAGCAAAAATTACCAGAATAACAAGGATTTAATATATACTGATAATTAGTTTACTGTTATTATCGGAATATATTGCATCTATTAGCTCCGATCGTCTAATAAGGTAACAAATCGAGTTTATATAAGAACAACAAGGAAATATCTTCACACTAATGTATTTTTAGCACAAATATTGTATATGTTTGTCCATCGATATATTGTATGTTATGCAGGTTTTTTCTTTGTCTTCGATATTCATGTATGCACTTATTTTCAAATTATTGTCGATTATTAAATTAATTGATATAATTATAATAATTATATTCTATATATCCAAAAACGTACGCCACGTATAGTTCGTTAATTCCTTATACTTGCGTCGAGTTTCGCTGTATGAGAGTACCGTATGGGAAGTTATGCTTAACATTTAATCACTTCTGAGATCGAATGCAAGACCGCGATCTTGTAATTTCCTGCAAGCAATTACAATTTTTATGCCCGTACTGATGTGTGTAATCGCAAGATTTGAATCGTATAAAAAGTTTACAAACACATGCAAATACACATTAACAGAAAAACGAATATTTTCTTCTCATATCTATATTAGCTATATTTTTAGCTTGTTACGCAAATTATAATCTAATTTTAATGAAGCGTAGGCAAAATAATATCAAGCAATATCAAAAGTAATATCAAAAGAATATTAAAACGTTTTACATTCAGTTTATTTGACTAATATTATCGGTGATAAGTTTCTATGTATCGTAAGAAATAGATATATTTATAATTCCCCATTTTTATACTCTTCTGATTTGCACGTTGTGATATTTTATCAATAAATAATCACGTGGTTACTGATATTATTATCTATATTACACGAAAGCGCAAAAAAGTAGATTAAAATATTTCTCAGTTTCATTGGTCGCATTTCTGTTATAATTAGATTGCTTTGCAATATATTAGTTACTTTTGTATTTATATAAATAATGTATCATTATTTTTATTATACATCTACTACCATTGTTGTGATAATAATGAAAATTTTATTACGATAAACGAATCGTATATATATTGCGACAATTTCTCATGTCGATTCATGTTCTTTCAATCATCATTTTCTCTAAGCATTCTATTAGTCTCGTGATTAGAAAAAGAGTGTTTAATTGCCATATTATACTAGGATCAGTACTGTCTAACTCGTTTAAGTACAGGTCGTTAAGATTCCCTGTCGTGCACAGCGGATGTTGCGAACGTCAGCTTTAAAGGCACGTGCTCAGACGTCTGCTTTCGGTGCGAGGGAGATAAGTAGAGACGTCGAAAACGTGCTTGTAAATGCATTTCCCAGGCAGCACTGTCATAAAATGCTAATTGCATTATGCACCTAACAAAAGGTTGAGAAATGGAAAGGGACAAACGTCCAACACTCGTCGTGTTTTTTCCAGAGTTTACTACGTTTTAAATAAAGACCCGGTGCACACAAAGTTTCTGGTCACAAATTTTAATTCGTGGGAACCGATACATTTTTGGTCAAAAAGTATTCGATTTCTGTTGCTAACGCAGAAATTCAACGCATTCTCAATAACGAAATCGATTTTCTCGATAATGAAATTTTCTATACAGAACTACCCTTATTCGTTACAATAAATTTGAAAGTACGAATCCGACCGTAACATGCAAAATGAAATTTCCTGTGTGCAGCGTGTGGGCAGCGCAAAGAGAATCCGCAATCCACGAGATTGCTCGCTTTGCTCGCTTTACAATCGCATCCGTACACCCGGCTCCGGGTCATTATTCATTTTAAGCGTCGGCGGCATAGCACGTCAATCTCCACGGAGGATGAGGAAAGCGCGTTCAGCGCCAGCGCCGGATCTTGCGCATTATTACAATTAGTGATGTCGCAAACGACACGAACGATCGTGTCTCACGACATGCGGAAGTTGCATTGTGACTCGGTGTAAAAATTTGTGACTTGAAAAGTATACGCAATAGGCGGCATACCTGAATCAAAGATGCAATAATGCAATTAAAAATCTCAAATTTTTACACTGTGAGAAAAATGTTTGGTATTTGCAACTATAATTATATATTATTATAATTATGATTATTACTGCTGTAATAATAATAATAACAATAACTATGTGTATTATAGTTCTAGCAACAAATATATATAGTTGACAACCTAAAATGACTATATAATTATAATTATTATAACCATAAAATAGTTGAAATTACCATAAAAATGATTCAAGTGACTATAATTTTACAATTATATTTTGGAACAACCATAAATAGTAATATATAATTCTCTCAGTGCATATTTCTGAATATCTACGAAAAATTTTGTTCGTTTTTTATGATGAGAATACATTAAATTATATTTGTGTTATTTCTTTTTAACATTTAGAATTCGTCGATCTATTTGAGTTCAGTAAAATAATTTGGAGTTATGTTTTATATAATACGCAGTTATTAAATGTCAGCGAAACTTTGAGCTTACTTTCTCCTCGCAATTTACTTAGTTGATTATGAACGATAATTACAGTATTGATTATATATACGAACATAATCATATTAATACATATTGCGACATCGATAAATCTATAATAAAAATCAAACTGGCTTCAGTTATAAGAGTGAAAGGAGTTGCTGTAGAGGGTTGCTTTAAAATATGTACAAAAGACATACGATGGAAACATATATAAAAGACAACATATATGCTGATCTATTTTTATATGGATTTAATAAAAAATAATTTATGCATATTGATCATGAATATGAGTACACAGACATAAAAAAAATTTTTTTATCCAAAGATTAGACCATGGTATTTCTATGTATTTTGACGCTATAAAAGCGAATCCGATGTCCAAATCGCTTCATCGCGTAACAATTTTTTTTCTATTAACGGAACATAGCTCGATTCTCCAATATATTAGGAAGGTGATTTAGTTTTGAAGGTTTTGCAAGAGATGGCATTAATGTCAGTGTTGTCGAAGACAGCACAACTATTGTTTCTTAATATTACTCCATGATATTTAGTCGTTTACTAACAATAGATGCAGTAAATATCGTGTTTATACCATTAAAAAAATGGAACTTTTCGACATGTGTTGCTTTTGTTTTTTAATCCGAAGAAAATGGCTGAAGGTCATAGAACTCTGATAGAAACTTATGGTGATGTTGCTCCAATTAAGACGTGTGAATATTGATTCTCTCTTTTCCATCGATAAAAAAAAATTGTAACTTGAAGGAACAATTTGGATGTCGGGTTTGGTTTCAGAGCGTCAAAATACATAAGAATACATAGTCTAATCTTCGGATTAAACATTAAATTTTGTTTTGTGTGCCTGTGTTATCTATATTTATTACCAACGAGATATAGGTATATGAGAGAGATTGTAATTTCATATATTGTTTTACAAAAAAGATATTGATGTTTTAATTTTTACAATTTAAATTTCCTTAAAAATATTACTA